GTGTTAATAAACTATATAGCTCATATTATCCACCATAGTGGACAATATAGATCAGTTCCCACCGCGTCACATTAGCGTAGCCAAAGGGAAATACCGGGCCAAGCCACTCGATGTCAGTGTTGCTTCACCGAGTTCTGCCTAGCGCAGCATCCTTAAAAGAGCTGAAAAGTCCATTTTGCAGGGAAGATGTTTAAGTAGAGCCCAAGCCTTTTGAGCCATGCCTGGCTTCTGTGTTGCCTCAGTGTTACTGTGCCCATAGTCTCGTCAATTATCTGCATGATGAGGGGATGGAGATTATAGCTTTATGTGCTTTGTTAAGGGTGAGAATCGTATCTTTCTCAGTTTAGGTCCACATTCAAGTAATTGGTGACTAAAATCAGTGTTCGTGAAATTAATTATTACTGAAAATGCATTGCATCCAAGCGTGGGAGATAAATTGGCAAGCTTTGGAGTTTGTGGATTTTGTCTGGCTTTGATACAGCAGAATTTCAGAGGGGGAAGTTATTTAAATATCAGTAATAAATGATTTGCATACTTACACATATGCTTCTTCTCTGCCCAGTGTTGTGGTTTAACCCAGGTTTATGTAATACATGCGGTTGATAACCTACTTTTTTACAAATTCTCAAAATTCAGGAATGCTGTTTTGAACAGTGTGGATTGCTATCACTGTTTTTGTGTTGTTGCATTTGTCAGCACTCTGTTTTAATTCTAGTAGCTTGTATTATATTCCCATGTGCTATGTTCTGCAAAATATGAACTGCACAATTTGGTCTCTCTAAATTAGTTCCTATCACCCTCTTTTTAAAACTTGACTTTCATTCCTATCCAGTTATGCTTTGTCAAAATACTTTCAATTTTTCATAGGAAAAATTTGTCTAGGAGTTTTAGCCATAATTGCTAAAGACACAAGCTTTATGTGACCAAGATTTTTGCTTGTCTTGTTTTCCTAAGTCTTTCATTTAGTATCACCTTAATCCTTTAGCCATACTTGACTTCTTTTTTGACAGAAACAGAGCAGTACCAAAACTGAGTTCATAAAAATTTTTGGTCAGGATAGAGGAAAAGGATGAGCAGCAATTATTTTCTGCACAGAATAGAAAGGTGAGGAAAGCTCAGTCATTATGTATTCGTTATCTATTCAGATCTAAATCTTAAGATCTAATATGTTTTTGCCGGTGGCCAGCCAGAAGGTGTGTGTAGTTTTGGATTAATGCTAGCACATGCTTCCCTTTACCCAGTGATGGTGGAAGGGCGGACTTCAGTGAGTGAGTTGGGTGCTCTGGATGTTCTTGAGGGGAAAAAATTATGCACAGCAGCAGAGCACAGGTTCAGTTAGCTCAAACTGGTTTAATGCTGGATGTTTGCAAATATTTAGTTCCTTCCTGAGAAAACTTATGAAGATCAAGCCACACTGCCAGAATCACAGAATGGACAAGGTTGGAAAGGAGCACAGTTGGTCACCTGGTGCAACCTCCCTGCTCAAGCAGGGACATCCCAGAGCACATGGCACAGGATTGTGTCCACATGGTTCTTGGATATCTCCAGTGAGGGAGACTCCACATGTTCCACTTTTTTCCATCTATGCCTGTCTGAGGTGTGAATAACTTCATTTAAGTTCTATGAGTGTATGTACACATAAGTATAGTTTTTGAACTTGCCTGCCAGTTTATGTGACATCTAAAGGCAGTTCTCATGCAAGAATTCAAAGATTTCCTCCAAAGGTTTTCCTGCTTCCATATAAAATGGATTTAGGGCTTCTTTGTCAGAGCTTACCACAATTTTTTCCTTTTGGCGTCTAAATTGGAGTAAGGTGTCAGATTATATTTTTTTTTAATCCCTTGAGGCCAGAGCTAGAGAATCAAACCCCCTTTCTTCATATATCCACCAATGTATGTAAACTTCCCATGTATGTAAATGTTAGAGGAGCTGAGGTTACCCCATTTATTTTTGGAAACTTTTTGCAAATCAGGATTTTAAAGCCCACCATATCTGATTCATGATGCCATAAATATCTCCTTCTATATACTATCTGAATTCTAATTTTTGACTTATGGTAATTATCTTTTTAGCACTGTAGATAAATATCCTGCTAGAATTAAATTTTTATGCATTTCCAGAACAAACAAAAAACTACTATGGTAATCACTTGAAGAAACGTTTTACTCATATGAGATTATCAAAAAAGCTAATTGTGAAGCATCTAATATTACAGAAGTATGTGTAAATACACTGACTTAAATGTATAAAACCAAAGGTTTCTCATGTTTACCCTTTGGTGTTCCAGAAAATGAAGTTTTATTCACTGGTTTCAGAGCAAGAGAGGGTCTCAGAATCCTGATAGCTCAGGTACATCATGAAACAATTCAGCCTATGGAAAGCCTGCGTAATCTGGGAGTGTATACACTAAAGATTTATAACAGCTGATGGGAAGGAGTTTAAACACTGTGTGTGTGATACAACGTGTTTCCATAAGGATACTGAAGTGCTCTAGGAAAGTGGAGGGGATTTTAGGTTTCTTTAAGATTCAAAGGCTGCAATATTTTGTAGTGAGGTACAGGCTTGTTATACATACCTATACATCAGTTTTCCCTTAAAAACGTTGATTTTTCTGGGGGTTTGTAACTATTGCTTTGTGTCACAGGTAACTAGGATTATTTATTTATTTGAGTTACAATGAAGAATGTATTTCAATAGTGATAGTATTATCAACTTCAGATTTATGGATAATGCAGTTTTTTACTTATCAAAATTCTTGTTGGGGTTAAACAAAATTTCCACAAAAATTCCACAACAGCTGTAGGATGCTTGAACTCATGCATGCCCACACTTACAGAGAGATACCATCCTCTGTTATTGGTAGGGGATAATATCTGTTGATAATGGAAATCCTAGGTGTTCAGATACTGATCTGGGAATGAGGTAAACTTGTCCAGTTTAACTGACTCTGCAATTAGAAGGTGGGAAAAGCTCAATTACAGACCTGCTCAAACATCGTCAGTATTTTGGTGCAAGAACTTTGAGGACTGGAGAATATGTTCTTGTGTGTTTAGCTACGGTTCTTTGGTTTCCCACTGTGGGTTTTTTTGCCTGTTTCAGAATATCCAGAGCTTTTAGCAAACAATGATTAAAAAAAAAAAAAAGAGGCTAGGCTCCTTGGCTCTTTTACACAAGTACCTATATTTGGGGATATTTTTGCACATGCATATTTATGTGTAGAAATGTATTTTGATTTTTATTTCATGGTAAATACTGTTATAGTTAGAGGTACTGAACATTTCATCAAAACTAAGCAGCACCTGACTGCTGAGTAGCCCTCATTGAAGCTCACATAGTGAATTCCTGTCCACTTCTAACTATTGTAAGGAAAAGATTTGTATTGTGAAAACTTGGCAGGCATAAATGCCTCAATTATGAAATCCTTGAACTGCACTTTCAAGTTAAAAAAAAACAAAGAAAACAAAAAACACAAACTACAAAAAGAATAAATGAAAATAATTGATGCTTAGAGGTTTATTGTAATGAACAGAAGTAAGATTACCTGTCTTTAAATAGTGTACGTTGTTAATGGGTGGGCAGGGCAAAGAGTAAGTATGCCAGGAATAGTTAAAAGTAAGGGTCTGTCTCATGCTAAGAAATTCTTTCTTTCTCTTCCTTTTTCCTTTTTATCTTTGCAATTCTATGGGACACGGTTGTGGACACCAACTGAATGTCACTCAGCAGAATGACTTGATGCATTTGTCTTTGTGCCAGTCTACCTGTTGTGTTTGGAAGCAGTCTCATTTTTCTAAAATTGTTTTGGGTAGAAAATGCTTCAGGGTTTTTTTGCCTTAATTTAAACAATAAAATGTAAATTAATTTCTATTTTTAAAAAAGGAAATATTTAAAAAATATAAAATTTGATTTTTATTGCTTACTACAGAACAGTGATTGGGAAGACACTTCCCCCATATAAGGGATCTTGCATTTCAACTTAAATTTCTTTGCCATCCAGAGATACAGAAAACTTAGAGGAAAGCTTACTGTGTCCTTGCTCCATAACAGTCAAGGCATTTTAATGCCTGAACATTTAAAGCTCCTCTGTGTCCTTATCACTTCGTGTCTCAGCACTTTATATCGTACACAAGGTGCACGACATTATTACAAGAACAAATGTTACTGGGTGAACAGCCTGTGCTGAGAGAGCCTTTGTGGAGTGGACAGCCAAGAGCAGAAAGGACTAGCTTTGAACAAGAATGATTGTCACAAGAATTCTTGGCACTGCCCATGTGAAGCTGATACCTTGCAGTCCCTCTCTGCACTTTGAGCTTGTTACTCCGAAGTTTGAGTTTTCAGCCCACAGAGAGATTCTGTGTATGTTTCTGGTAGGGCTTATTGCTACCTGATGTTCTGCATTTGCTACATAAACAAGGTTTTTGTGTAATTTAGAAGACAAAATGCTGATGGAGTAAGACAAGACTTCTAGCACGAGCTTTACTGAGGTCTCGATGCCTCCCGCCTGCGGCCAGGAAAGCTCCCCCAGGAGGGACCAGGCTGCTCCCAGGCTTGGCAGGGAGATGCCTGCTCTGCTGGGCACTTCTTGCTCAGATTAGCATAGCCCAGCCTATATCACACACACACCCAGTAATACCTCATTTTGCCACTGGAATGAGGCCAAAAGCACAAGCATTACAGGGATATAAAGCGGGAAGTTACTGGAAAGAATCACAAACTAACTTGAGACTAGACCAAATTTTTGCAAACAGCAGAAAATATGATCTTTTTCTGTAGACAGTTCTTGCGTTTAATGTAGCTGTTTATATGATTGAAGCACTTAATAAGTGTTTTCATTGAGTGTAGTTACAGAACAGCTGCAGAAATTTTAAGTGCTTCTGTTCATTTTTTTTTCTTTGCAGTTTGGAACTGAAAAATCTTAGAAGAAAACTGGACACTGGCAGAGATCAGGGTGATTCCTCAACAGTGCGCTCCTCTGACAGAGGCACTGCTTTTGTGGGGTAGGAATGATGACAGGGGCAAAAAGGAAGAGAAGTACAGTCTGGAGGAAGATCCAGGCTGTTCGCTTAGAAGATATCAAAGCCTGGTGTATGAGGAGGCTGCCTATCTTGACATGGGTGCCTGTCTACAACTGGAAGGAAAATCTGGTTCCTGATACTGTTTCTGGGATGATGCTAGCCATCCAACAGGTGACTCAAGGTACAGTTAACTCATTTCAAATTAATATTTTAAGTTTGTCTGGTCATATCGAATGTTGATTGAATCTAAATAAAAATATAAGGAAAAATATATAGTCTTAACTAATTTATAGAGTGGAGGTGTAAAAGTGGAAAGAATTCATTTAATTTCTGTGTAACTTTACTATTTATCCTTTGACATTTTTTCAAACATTGAATATGGAAGGTGAGAGAGCAGTAACTCTCTTCATACAGGATATATATTATATACAATGTTTTATCAGTTAAATAACCATCTTTTTCTCCATTTTACATGGAAAACAAAATATAACTCAATGATAATTGCACTATAAAATAAGCTGTTGTGGAATAAACACATGTGTGATACTAATACCTGTAAAATTCCAAAGCACAGCAGGAAGAGGTCACAACTTTCTGTGCCTAAAGAGTATTCCTGCCAGAGATATTATCCAGGGAGAGGATTTGTGGCATCCATGGCTTGTGTGCTGATTTAATGCTGTATTGCATTACCTACCACACCTCTTTTCAAGCAGCAATACAAAGCAGGGGTGGAGCTAGACTCCATTTTACAGCTAAAAAAAAAAAAAAAGCAGAAAAAAGGAAAAGCTTCCCAAACCCTGCACAATGACCTGCAGAAACTTTAAGTTCCAATCATCTTGCTTAGTAAAGTGATTGCTGCGAGGAAATAAAAGCTTTTGTCAGTTTTTGATGTCTCTCTGATAGTGTCACCTTCGTATGATAATTTCTTATATTTGTCTCCGACAAATCACAGCTTCTTATCTCAGATGGACTTTAACTTCTTCCTTCATGTGAATGACATCTATTGTTTCCTAACAGTCTTCCATATTAAATGTGTGCTTAACTATCATTCATGTTGTTAAACACTCCTTTAATTGAATTATGCTGCAGCTTGAAACAACTGATTTGTATAAGTATTTGTGCTTTCAAAGTAATTAGGAACATCTGCATTGGCATGATTTAACTTTAGAAACCTTAATACTGTAACTTGGCAATGTATCTAATTTCACTGGTATGTGTGCATACAACAATTGTAATTAAAATGCTGCTAATACAGTATGTTAAAATTAATCAAAAATGCTATGTTAAACATATTTCTGCAGTCCTGGGAGTTTTAGCCAGGATTTTAATGTTTGACTCTTGTACCAAGAAGTTGTTTACTGTCACAGATAAATCTGTGAAGACAAAAAATACAGGTTTGTGGTTTTTGGTTTATTTATAAGTACTCTAGAAACAATTTTATCTTTATACTGTTCAAAAATAAATACTTTTAAACTCCTGATCTGTTTTTTCTTTCTCTGCTTGCTACTTCTCAAGGTTTTGGAATGATTTTAGGGGATGAAATAGGAAAAGAGTTAGAGACAAAAGCATTTCATCATCTTTGTGCTGCTTTAATTTGAATGCAAATATAAGCTCTTTCCCTAGTGCTGTAAGCATTCCAGTTACCAGCACTATCCGAATATTTTCACAGGAAGACTTATGGATGAAAAGAAATTCCATTTGTTATATAGCACAAAGCCAAAAAACCCCAAGTTTTTGGAGGTCCTATTGTGACTGTTTTCTTCCACCCACAAGATAAACCAAGAAATTTTGTAATGCAATGCAAGGCAGAAGTTCTAATAATAGTAGGAAAAAAAGTTAATTGGTGATAATTGATTTGTTGAGCATATTGTCAACCTCAGCAACAGGTTTAGGCAAATCCTAGTATAAGGAAATAAACCTGAGTAATGGAAATACTTGGAAAAATGTGCAGTTGTATTCATATGCAACAGTTTTCTGAGTGATGAAAACTGCAAACTCTAGGGTGGAGAGCAGTCCAGTAGCTTGAGAATAATTAGAAAGGCCTTGCAAATGAGCTGTGTTTTTCACAATTTCCTTCTGTGGGATTTCTTACTCATCTGGTATTGGTCATATTCAGACTATTCAGGTTGGCAACTGCTCTGATCTCGTGTAAGGCGTTTGTGTTCCCACTTCTAATCTGAATTTTAGATAAAATTGCTGATTTCACTTTGTATTGCAAGGAAGAAAAGATGGAAGTCACTGTCCTTACTGTGCTGTAGTGAAAGCAACAAAACTGGGCTGGGGAAAAGGAGACTGAGGGGTGTAACAAGATGGAAAGTGAAGGCGTGGGATTATCATAATGTACTGCTGGGCATTTGTGATGAAAGAGTCATTGCTGAAACCAGGCAGTCGTTCTGAAAGTGTTCCTGTAGTTGTTTCGTTGTCTGCTAAAAATAATAAATAAATATTAATTCAGAAGTCCCAAAATTCAGGGATCTTTACCTTATGAGAAAATACTTGTATTTTCTCTGTATGTATCCCCTAGTTTTAGAGTCCTTTATCTACTTCTACAGAATATGGAGAAAGAAATGTCAAAGATAATTATGTTTCTAAAAATTTTATGAAAATATCAAGAAAAAAAAAAAGCCTTTTCAAATACTCCAATTGGCACAAAGGTCCAGCTGGACTTGCACAGTTTCAGACTACAAAGTCAGCCAGCCACAAGTCAAAACTAGTAAAAGAAATCAGGCTTCATCTGTTCCAGCTATTTAATATTAGTTCCAAGTATAATTTAATAATGCTGACAAAGAATCCTTATTCTTACTTTGATACTTAAGGTTGATAAAATAATCTTTAAATCTAAAATGAACATCATGATGCAGTCTTGAAGTTTGCTATACACTGTAATAGGAAGTTAAGAAATTTGAGCTTTTATATTGTGGTAATCACAACATAATTTGTATAATTTGTCTCAAAAACTTCTCAAAACTCTGTTATTGATAGACCAGAGCAATATGTCTCTAAATTAACAAATAAATCCCTAACTTTCTTGTTGGATTAGCATTCATTGTCCTCTTCCCTTTCCCTTTAAAACTTATTAATACCACATCCACAGTCATTCTGTGAAGAGTCTTTCCATTTAATTTTGTATCCCTCATCTTTGCAAACAAATTCAACTGCTAGATCCATGTAGATGTCCCATAAGTGCCTAACCTTCTTTTTCCTTTCCAAATTGAAATCATGCTGATAAAACAAAGGGTCTGCTGTGCAGGTAAGTAGTTCTCAGCAAGTTGTTTCTGTGTTCTTCAATGGTCAATGAAGACTTAGTTGATGGAAGTTAATGAACATTAAGTTATTAGAGAGAATCCAAAGGAGGGTAAGGAGGATGATGAAGGGCCTTGAGGGGAAGCCAGATGAGGAGCAGCAGAGGTCACTTAGTTTGTTCAGCCTGGAGAACAGGAGACCGAGGGGAAACCTCAACATGCTTTGGGAGGAGGTGGAAAGGCAGGCACTGATCTGTTCTCTCTGGTGACCAGGGACAGGACTTGAGGAAACTGAGTCAGGAGGGGTTTAGGGTGCGTTCTTCACCCAGGGGGTTGCTGGGCACAGGAAAAGGCTCCCCAGGGAACCGGTCACAGCACCAGCCTGGCTGAGTTCAAGAAGCATTTGGACAATGCTCTCAGGCACATGGTGTGACTCTTGGGGTGTCCTGGGCAGGGTCGCGAGCTGTACTCAATGATCTTTATAGATCCCTTCCAAACTTAGTTTGCTCTGTGATTCTGTGCTTGTGAGAGGTGGTGAATGACTGCATTTACATCACTATTTTTTCCTTTTCTTTCATTCTCTTATTAAGTTGTCGATCTTGACTGACGAGTTTTCTCACTTATGCTTTTCTGATTCTCTCCTGCATCCTTTGAGGAGGAGTGAGTGGCTGGATGGGTACTTAACTGCTGGCTAGAATCAATCCATCACAGGGGTGATTAATCTGACTAAATCAAACCATCTGCTTTGTTAAGGTTCATTAATTATATTAATAAGTTTCCTCTGAGTGTAACAGGGATGGGCTCAAGTGTAGACACTGATGAGGCAGACATCAAAGTTTAGGTGTCTTAACCATTATATCCATGTCATTGTGGGTAATAAACAGATAAAGATATCATGTTTAACAGTTCATGGTTAAAGGCAGGTCTTACAGTTTTCTTTTCTGTAATTCATCCATTGACCTGTCATAATAGAATTATTTGTGGGTTTTTTGTGTGACTCATACCCATACCCATAAAAGAAGAATACTTTGATCAGCCTGGGTCTGAATTTTTCTTGGTTTCCTTACATGATAAAATTAAGATGCATTATGATACAGTCTTCCCATGTAGCTAAATCTCACGAAACTGTCATCATTTTTTTTCTGTAGCCTTCTGAACATGTGCTATAATCCCATCATAGCTCTTCAGAATGCATCTGCTTAGCTTATTTGCCCAGTGGTAACTTTTATTGCACCAAGCAAATTATTCATCTTTACTTTCATGGCCTTTCATAGGTGATCTTTCCTGATATTATTTATTCATTACCAAGCTCTTGATCCATCTACCGATAATCCACTTTGCTATTCTTCTTCATTCAGTCTTGTCTTTTCAAAAAACCAGCTTTTTACTCAGGATTTAAATTTTGCAGTGTATATTTTTTGGTAGTCATTCCTCATTTTTTTGCTATTTAGAATGTGGGATTTGGGGTTTTTTTTTTTGCTTGTTTTGCTGTTTGTTTTTTCCTGGGCAGAATTATGCACACTGCTCACAAAGACTGGCATATAGAAACCATGTGCCATGACCCATCAGTAAGCTTCCCTGAATGTCCCTGAATGCAACAATTAAAACCAAGTTTATCTGAAAAAGTTTATAAAAGATACCCTCTGTCATGCAGATGAGTTAATTGCCAGGGGAATTACTACCCAAGTTAGTCTTCTTGAATATATACTTTATTTTTTGAATGTATATTTTAGTGTATGTAACTTATTTATCTTGTCTATACAGGTAGGGGACACAAATGTGTCCGAAGTATTTTGGTCATGAAATGCTGTGAAAATTAAGTGCTCTGCATAACACCTGAAGTTGTTTTACTCTTTCTGGATGTAAATAACTAATGTAGGTACCTAACTTCAGACAATGTCAACCCTTCTCTCAGGCTTCTTCCAAGATCTCTCTTGAG